GCAAAAAAAAAAAAAAGAAAAAAAAAAAAGGTCACCAATATTTTTTCTCTTCGGGGCCTGAAAGAAGGGGCCCACGGCCCCCTTCCTGCCGAGAGATAGGTACCCCAAAAATTTTTTCCGAGCTCGGATTCGGCGTCTCGGCGGCCTTCGGCCGCCGAGACGCCGAATCCTCGCACGGTAGAGAAAGAGTGTCAACAGTGCTCCGATTCACAGTTGCGGGGGCCGTCGGCCCCCGCAACTGCGAACCCTCGCACTGTTCCCCGCCACTGCAACCCTATCCCTACTATTATCATTAATTGAAATCACCCCATTCTCATTTTATTCATAATTAAATACACATCCATATTTTTCCACCACAAAAAAAAAAATTAAAGTACTCTCAGTGCTTCTCACATAAGCACACATGAAAATAACCACCAAAATAATAACCATAAAAATAATAACCATCAAAATAACCAAGACCACCATAAAAACGACATGTTGCACCATCACGTTTTGTAAAAAGCTTGTAACGACCATCGTACCAAAGCTTTTCATCAGTCTTCGTCCAATTTTGCCAATTACACACCCACTGCCACATGCCTTGATCGCCGGTAAAATGCCAATCACGACACTTGTGGCATTTGGCACAAGGACGACCGCCACAATAGAGTTTCTCGCACATGCCAGGTGCGGCGAACTCTGAAGTTTCTAAATGAAAATGCCAGACTGTTACACAATCATACAGGGAATAGATTATTATTTTAGCAAAAGTTCATTAAGCGGACGATGGAAAACTTGAAAGCATGTCAACTAAGGAAATATTAAGAGCCCCAGTAAAAGTTCGGAACATATCGTATCCAGATATCGTTATCACTCGATATTACGTCAGTAGTGAACAACAGGATCATTCAATGGGAAAATTGTTCCTCTTTATGGAGAAATCGAATGAAAGAATATGAGCATATATCTATCACTCAATGTTTTGTTCCGTACATTTTAGCATTAACAGACATCGTTTCCTTGGAGTGAATAAGTAAATTTTTATCTGCTTATCACTTTTTGGCTGAAAAGAAGAAATGATTGGAGCGAGTAAAAAGTTTTCTGTTTAAATGGAACGACTTCCAGGATATGTGAGATATTGTTCGATCTTGAAATATGAGGGATGCAAGGCATTCAAGAAAACTCAGGGATCGAAACAGTTAAAACAATCCAAAAAACTGAAGGAATCGAATTTAACCTAAGAACAGAAGAAAAGTGAAACATTCAAGACAGTCAAAGAATCAAACAAAATAAAGAGAATTCTTGGTACCCATGATATACATCGACAACAGAAAATTTTGAGCATGTGAGTAAAGACGAAGAAAAGCATATTGTACATGTCAAGATAGAACAGGATGAACAAGAGTGACAGACGGAGAAATAATGCATATAGGAAAGGGTACATTCCGCGTATGACCATCAGTCAATAGTGATAGTAGGAAAAATTATCAATTATCGACCGTCCTATAAAGGTAAATTTTTAAAGTGTTTTCTATTACAGAAGAACAAATTAACCGGTTGACTGAGGTAGAGTAAAGCTATTTGATTCTTTTTATGGTAAAGATATCTATCGGACATCCTGTACATCAATAATCTTAGAATTCTTTTTAGACGCGTATATGCTCTTGATAAAAATGCTCTTAGCTACCAATAAGTATAGTAAACTCTCATTTTCACGAATTTCTTCTGATAATGTGAGAATGGCAAGTTTCGATGACAGTTATCCAGACTTTGTCGACTGATAGAACTAGTTATTCTACTCCAGAAGTATGCTGTTCGAAGCATATAATTTTTTACATACAAAATAATTTCCGGGAAATATCATAGTTGAAAAATCCCCAGGCTTTTCAGAGCTTCATCATCCTGAGCATACCTCCAGCAATGGTCCCCAGCGCC